GCCCGATCTCAGTGTTCGTGAGGTTTTTGGGGGTCCTGAACATTTTTACTTAGAGTACCCGATCCTGTTTACTTAGTACGTTTTTGAGAAATGGGGACCTAGGTGGTAAAACACCATAGGTGCGTTTTAGTAAAAGTGAACTTTTTTCTTTGAATTCTATGTATTCATAGAATTCAAATAAAAAAATTTCGTCGCATTTAATCAAGTGGTTGTCGAAATATCTTCGCTCAAAGAGAAAAATTAAAATGCATATCAAAATAGAATCTTTTCTCTTTACTTTAGCGAAGATATCTAGACAACCACTTGACTAAATGCAATTAAAACTTTTTTATTTCAATTCTATGAATCATAGAATTGAAATAAAAAAGTTTTATCAAATTTGGTCAGATCGTTATCGAGATATCTTCGGTCAAAGTTAGAGAGAAAATTTGGCGTAGCTTGGGCGTTTTGGTTTTTCTCTAATTTTGAGCGAAGATATCTCAATAACCACTTGACTAAATTCGATAAAAATTTTTTTTTTTTGAATTCTGTGAATTCATAGAATTCAAACAAAAAAAGTTTTATCGAATTTGATCAGATGATTATCGAGATATCTTCTTTAGAGAAAAATTTGGCATTATTTAGATAGACGGTTTGATTTTTCTCTAATTTTGAGCGAAGATATTTCGACAATAACTTGGCTAAATTCGATGAACTTTTTATTTGAATTCTATGAATCCATAGAATTCAAATAGAAAAGGTTTTATCAGGTTCAAGCAGATAGTTGTCGAGATATCTTTGCTCAAAGTTTTTAAAATTTCTTATTTTTACTGGGATCTGTAAAAAAGTAGGTGCAGGAGTATCAAAAACGAACGGTTTGCACCCAGTATTGCCACCAAAAAGTTACAGTCACGTGAGCATTACACGATCAAAAAACAAACGTTCGCTTTGTCAAAAAGCGCTTGTTTTTCAAAAAGTAGCTACCTTTAGTGCTCTAACAAAAAGTTTCCTTGAGCGATTTTACTATTAGACCTAACCCTAATCTAAACAGGCTTTAAAGAATTTTTCGTTTTTCACGTGACTGCAGCTTTTTGGTGGCGATACTGCTGTACTGGGGAAGATGGCTTTAGACGATCCCATATATATTTGGATAATCGATAAATTTACTGTAATAACAACTTGATTTTAAATTCGATATTGTAATAAATCGTGATATATCGTATGGGCGAAAATTTACAGTCGCAACATTGTGATTATTAAAATTAAATGTGATGGTCTAAATTACTATAGAGTAACTGTATAAAAATTATGATAAGCAACTGATAAAAACTTATAAGAAATTTTACGATGATTGATTAAAATATCACTTTTAATCTCAGTAGTCTCTCCGAAACTTGCATATGATTGGTTCAAAAAACTTTTATGCATAACAAAAAAATCATGAAAACTGCCCATACGTTGTCAAGATAAAATACAAATATTTTATTTCTTTTTTTTTTATTTCACTTTTCATTCTTTGTAACTCTCTCTACCCGATGACCGAATATTAAGATTATCCACTTTACCCCGTAATTTATTCAATGAATTGCTTTCCAAATATTTTAGCAATGAGTCAGAAAATAGATAACATAGAACCTTACATGAAGACTTTTGTTTTTGTATTAGGGTTTTACAAGATTCAGCAAATACAACAATCGAGGATGCGAAAAACCGTTATTTGGCAAAAAAATACATTTGCAATACGTGATTAAAATAGTATTCTTTCAATGCCCATAGGCATTCGAAAAGCATTTATTATGCAACCCTCTTCACAACTAAATGCAATTGCAAAAATGCATGTAAGAATAAATATACCCTGTAGGAATAATGCTATCCCACTAATCATAGATGTAAAAACTTTGTGTCATGCTTTAAATTTAATTAATTTGTAATGCACTGTGTTATGGATAAATCCTATCTTAAAGTGATTTAAATTCCAAAATAGCGTACTCGATGAAATAATTTTGAATACACATAATTTTGTTGTAAGTTGAATTGGAATTCTTTAACAACTCGGACACATTTTAGAATTCTATTACAATATAAGTTTATTCGGAATCAACCTGGGTGAATTCTAAATCTACAATAATTCCATTCCGACGTATGTACGGCATATATATCAAAATTATTTTTATATATTGCAGCCGTTTCAAAAATTTGTGGAAAGATACAGATCACTATACCATGGAGAATTCACGATATTTCCCAGATTTCCAGAATTTTCAAGACCCTCTAATCGGATTTTTAATTTTTACTAAGTAGAATTTCCACATTCTTCGATTCCCACATGGGTATATAGAAATCGGTTTCCACATCTTTTTGAAAACAGCTGTGAACTACCTGGTTGCAAACCAAAAAGGAAATTTAATTTTGGATTTAATTTTGTAAATAAACTAAGTGCGTATACCATCCTAAAAAATTTCTTTACTATTTCGCCGGCTTATCAGAAAGTAAACGCAAAAAAAATCAAAATAAACCAAAAAAATCATTTATAACTCAACATTAACATATGAAACTGCCTCCAGCACACTAATAAAAAGATTTTCTTTGCGATATTTTGGTATTAATAAAGCCTAATTTAATTGCGAAATTTTTTAAGTTGGTGATGAATACCAGGTTTAATCTCTAACCTATGAAATACCAAAATTTCAAATCACATTATTTCAATATTAATTAATGTTAATTGCCCATTTATTATCCCTTGAGTACTAGGAAACATCGTAGCTAGTTAGGAAATTGGAAAACTAATTCATGTTTATTGTTATTTATAAAAAAAAAAAATACAATTGAACGTGAATAACAGATATCTATTATAATTAATTATTAATTGATTTAATTATCTGGACAATATGAGTTCAAAATAGGGAACATAATAAGGAACAGTATGAACATTTTCAACTTTTTTTAAAAAAATTAAATAATTAACAAGGTATTATTAAGCATTACGAATAATAATCAAATTTATCCTATTTATGCAATAAATTATTAAGATTCTTGATTGATTTTTGCAACTTTTTGTTAGAAGCTTGCATTTTAGATACTTCTTTCAAATATTTCTCATTCCATTTCAATAGCACTTTTTTGGTTTTATCGTCTGTACCATCTTCTTTAGCGGCAGCTTTTATTGTCGTATCAAACTCATCAGATAGTTTACTAAAATGGCCATAGGTTTTATCAAATTTATGAGTTAGGCTCTGATATAGATCTTTGAATCTCACACCATCTGTTCTGACTTGGTCTCCAACTTTTCTTTTAATAACGGCCGTATGAGCAATAGCAATAACAAATACCAAAAAAACGGTGAGGATTGATAAGAATTTCATGATTGAAATTTGTTAAATATCTGATATTTAAAATATTAAGTTTCTTTTGATATTGGTTCAAGAGAATATTTAAAAAGTTATAATGGATTAATGACCTGGAGTATTAAGAGATCAAGGCATATTTATATATTTCGAAAGGCAAATCCTTCAACTAAAAAGAATACCAAATTACCAATATTTGCCTTTTTTTGGTTTTTTTTTTATTATAATTTTATTATCATTCAAGATAGGCGCTCCGTCATTTTTTCAAAAATCTCGCGCATGAAATCCCCCCGCGGATAATCTGTACTTCTTTTGCGGAGTAATGTCCATGTATGATAGAATCATTTTACGTATGTTAATATGCATGGAATATCTTGTATTTTATTTAACATTGTAGATGATCAATGGCTGTCTTTAGTGAATTCTTATGATTATAGATACGTTACTAATTACGGTTCAATTTTATAAATCGAGTTGACGTAACTTTTCTTATGATCAAGGATTTTATCTGATTCGATCGTTCATATTTTTTGAATTACTACTGTACTATCGGGG